TAGTTAATGATGATGCAAATATTTCAGCATAATTCATTTTGGTAAAGAGAATTGTAGTAAATTTGTGGATTAATTTTCTGAGTGTTGATTCCAGTATTTCAAAAGAGATTATGGCTTCTCTACTAATAGTTGGATTTGAGAAGTAAATCAAATCAGTTAAAAATTTAAGAAGTTGACTAGCTATAGTTTGAATTATATGATAAAAACTAGCTTTGAGAGCTTTTCAGTTTGCTATTGCTGGTTTGATTTCTTTGCCTAGAGTAAAGTTATATAAGTGGTTTTTGAGAAATTCAAAAACTTGAAATGATAAAGGAGTTTTAAGTTTTTTAATTTTTTCCAATTCTTCAGTAATAGGAAAATGTTTAAGCCAATTAAAAAGTGCTTTAGGTTAGTTTGTTTGGGTTTGAGAATTTTCTGTTGAGTTATTAGTTGATGTGTTATTTAGCTTCTTGTTTTTTCCTTTAGAAACAGAAGTAGGATTATTTGGATGTTGTAAAGAATTATCAATATCCATATTTAAAGAGGAGTTTTCAGCAGGAGTTTCAGTAGTTTGAATAGTTTGTTAAGTAGTTGGTGATAGTGGTAGTGTGTTAGTATAAGTTAGTGAGAGAGTTTTAGGAGATAAGTTTAGTTGTTCAGTTTCAGTAATTAAAGGAGTATCAATTTCTATGTTTGAGAATGTATTATTTTTAAGAATAGATACTGTTAAAGTAGGTAGTTTGATTTCTGGTTGAGTAGTAAGTGGAACTATTATTATGATATTAGAAATAGTGAGAGGTTTTATTTGATTCTGTTGGAATGTTGCTAAGAGATTTTTTCTAATAGAAGCATAATCCATTAGAGAGGTTGAAGATATTGCATAGATACCAGTTGTTATTGAAGTTTTAGCAACTTTAAATGTTAAACAAGTATAATGATAAGCATTATTATTTTAAAAGGTTGTGTCATTACTAAGCTTATATTGATTATTTGTGACTTTGCAAGAAATTGGTTGTTGGCATTTTTGATAAGAATGTCGATGAGTAACTTGATGTAATAATGCTTTGTAGCATTTTTTGAGTTTTTTTGTTTTTGGTATTAGCAACAAAAGAAATAAAGTCAGTATGAACTGGCTTGAAAGGTTTGTTGCTAGTAGTAATAAATTTGGTATGATATTTATTACAGAGAC